CTGATAAACCAGCGAAGACGTGGCCTCTGCCCCGGCGTGAAGGCGAAAGTTCCTGTCTCAGGCCTAGAGTCGAGGAGCCTTGTCCCTGGGCAGGAAGCTCTCTGGACCGAATTGATGGAAGTTACAGGACATCACGCACTCTCTGACTGTTCAGTGCACGGTGGAGACAGCACATGTGCTCGTGAGGGCCGAATTTGCGATTTTGAAAGTTCTAGTGTCCTCTGCTGATTCATCATGGTTTCAACCGTCTCCTTCATGGGGAGTTTTATCACGGCCCAGCTCCTCCCCCTTTTCTCTCCGGCTGGGGCACGTTCTTCCTTTTGTTTGCAAGACGAAAAGGGTCCTAGGGGGTGGATGGCGGTCACGGTTACGCAAGAAGACGAATGTACTTAAAATGGTTAAGGTGATGTTATGTTATATGTATTTTACCACAAAAAAAAGGGGGCGGGGAGAAAAATATTGGCAGCTAACGTAGGAAATCGCGTGGGCTTTAGCGGTGCCCCAGCCGATTAAAATCCCAGCGTTAGCACTTACTAGCTGTGTGGCCTTGGGCGAGTCACTCCTCAACCCCTCAGCCTCAATTTCCTTCTAAATTGGCATTGACAATGGCTAGCTCACTGGATTACTGACTGAGAGAATCAGGGAGGTAATATGCCATAAGCATTTTCAGCATCCTTTATAGATGCTGATTTGAAACAAACGGGGGTGGGGCGCGGGGAGCGGCCACATGTAATGAGCAGAGTGGGCAGCTATCGGAGACAGCTTGTTTGGGCCCATCCTGTCCCCGTGAGGCATAAGGAGCTTTTCGACCCTTAATGCTTCCGGCCGCTCTCTTCTGCACAGATGACACGTTTTCACATGCTATTTCTTCAGGCCGGAAGGCTTTTCTCTGTTCTGGCCACGCACTTCCTCTTGCCCTGACATTAATAATAACCCACTCCATCTCCAGAACTCAGCTCCGACAGCCTTTCCTTTGCAGGCCTTTTCTTCCTCGTAGCTCTGACGGGGGCCCCTCCTGAGCACTGACTGTGCTCACGCCAGAGTTATCTGTTCAATCATAAGAACATATGTTTCCAGAACATAAACTCCGCATGAGAGGAGACTGTCTTCTTCCTAGGTGCAAGCCCAGAGCCAAGCAGATCCCAACGAAATGGGAAAAAGACTGTAGAAAAACAGTGGAAAGACATGGGGGCTTTGAAAACAAGAAAGCACCATCCACGGACAAGACGATGTAAAAAAACTGATAGAAAGTAGACGGGGTCATAGCAGAACAAGATGGTAGCCACAGGCCACCATGGACATAGCAGCTGTTTTTCCTGGCAGAGCTCTGGAGAAATCCCCAGACTTGGAGTCAGCGAGTTTGGACAGGAGGAGTGAGGAGTGGAGGACCCTCTACAGAACGGCTCCATCATTTAGCCCCTCCCCCTCCACTGCCATATTTGGAGCAGCACCTCTGGCCACAGCTGCAGCCCCGTGAACCCCTCCTCCAGCAAACCCCTCTCCATCTGGGGAGACTTCGTGGGGAAGTTATGCGGCCTGTCCGTCAAGGCAGAGCAGGTGCTGAGAGATCCGGGTCCCCACAGGAAGCCACAGGGGAAGGACTCCGTTCTCAGAGGGGATTTTATTAATTCTGGCAAGTCTGAGAATCCTCCCTGTGGGGAGGACTCACCCATCCACACCCAGATGTCTGGCTGATGGAGGCAGAGGCTGAGAGCGGGGTGGAGGAGATGGCTTTTGGTAAATCGGTCTACCCATCTGCCAAAGGAACTCAGGTAAGTCACCTGTAAAACTCAACATACCTCATCATCAATAAGCCGCATCCATCGAACTCGTAAGACATTTAAAAGAAACTAACGCCGCGAAAAAGCAATTCGAACAAATAGAACATATCCGTTCAGAGTGTGGGAGACAGATAATGCAAGAAATAGAACTTAAAAAAAACCTTTCTAATCTAAGCTCCAAAAAGACATATTATTTGTCTATCGAAAAGAAAAAAAAAAAAAGAAAGAGAAACAGATGGCCATGAAGAAAGAGCACTCAGAAAATTAAAAAATCTCAAAGGTTAAAAACTCAATGGCTAAAACGAAAACCCAGAAAGACTGAATGAAGTCAAAGGTCAAATACAATCTGGAAGAGATGGACAGACAGAATTCCAAATGTGGAATATTAATGAGGGATAATTAAGAAACACAGAGGATATAATATCTGTTGGGAGTTCCTGGAGGAGAGAACAGTAAAATGAAGAGAAGTTAAAGAAATAACAGAAGACACAGCCAGTCTCCGCTTACCCGTGGTTTCACCTTCTGAGGTTCCCACCTGCAGTCAACCGCGGTCCAAAAATATTACATGGAAAATTCCAGAAACAAACAATTCATAAGTTTTCACTTGTGAGCCGTTCTGAGCAGCGTGGTGCAACGTCGTACTGTGTCCTGCCCGGGACGTGAGTCGTCCAGTCTCCGTGATGTAGGGGCTCTCCACCTGGTAGTCCCTTGGTGGCCTTGTCAGTTATCAGATCGGCCATCAAAGAGAGACCACATTCTCTTAACTTTTATTACAGGATATTGTCATAATATTTCTATTTCATTACTAGTTATTGTTGTTAATCTCTTACTGCACCTAATTTATAAACTCTATCATAGGCATGTATATATAGGAAAAACAGTACCTACAGAGTTCCGTATTAACTCATTTCAGGCGTCCACTGGGGGTCTCGGAATGCATCCCCTGTGGATCAGGGGGGACAGTGTAATGTCCTTGAACTGAAGAAAAACTCAAGGGTACAGAGTGAAAAAAACTTCTCACTCACCTCCTATTCTGGTGAGGGTGGAAGAGGGTGATACACGTATACCAACACTTAGACGTATTCTGGTGAGAGTTCAGAATGCCAGAGTTAAGAAGAAAAACCCTAAAACCTTGTAGAGAGAAAACGAGTTTCTTGTGTGGAAATGAGGGCTAAATTGGCATCAGATCGGTCTAAAGCAACGCTGACCCAGAACTCACAAGGAAACATTATTTTGACCTAGAATCCTATGTCCAATCAAACAAATAAGGTGCCAACAAAATAAAAATTGAGCACTCGCAAGATCTATCTCTTCGTATACCATTTCTGGAAAAAAAAAAAAAATCGAGCATGTATTCTTCCCAAACTCAGAAGAAATCTAGGGAAGAGGAGGCATGAATCCAGGACCCAAGGGGCCTCACCCAGGAGCTCATTGAAAAGAAGCCACAGGGTGTCACGTGTGTCCCAGTCCCGGAAAGCTGTCAGTTCAAATTAAAACGGAAAAATGAAAGGGCTCCAGGAAGCATATCTTTCAAAGGAAAATAGATTTCATTACACACATTGTTCTAGTTCAGAACCCGGAAGTACTTAATGAGAACAGGAGGACATTTCAAGAGCTCCATATAAACACCCACACAACAAAATCACAAACTGTGGCGAAAACGGACGCTGCGTGAGATTCAGATAGGAAGCTAACTGAGACGTGCCGCGATTCTCAGCTCTGTATAGAATGTGGAAGACTGTTCTATTTGATCATGACACTGGTTGAATGACACAGGATAACTTTCCCTTTTCTATGGGTTCAGTCACATTACTTGTTTGTGCGATGAACCTACAAGGCCCCAACGCCTTAATTATAGTTCTTGAACAGAATGGGAACGTAAGAACAATGCAGATGTGAACAGAAATAGGGAAAGGAGAAGACAAGCAGAAAAACCTAATGTCTGCACCTTACTACAGAGTGGCCTCCGGGAGGCCCCCAAAGGAAACGCGGTTACCCCTGGGGAGGGGGCTTTGGAGAGGGACAAAGGCAAAGAGGAAGGAGGAGATGCTATACCTCCGCCTCTGGCTTCAGCGGCAAAGGTGGCTTTGGTAGGACACTTGGAGAAGCCAGAGCCTCAGCTGCCACTGCCCGTCTTGAGACCCACGGCCACAGGTCCCAGATTCCACCTGCCTCGGCTCTTACTGTTTCTGGTCCTTGTAAGTAATTATCCCGTTTCTGAGTCACACTCTATCTTCTTTATTTTCTCTGCGCATGTGTTGTTTGGCATTGCTTAATGTTTGCGGCAGACGAAGTGCATCTTGCTGTACTGTCTTGATGGGAAACCATGGTACTCCTTTCGGAATTTAAAAATTGGAATCGTAAAACCGCAAATTCATTCCTCTCTCCTTGTAGGATCTAGTCTGCATTATACCAGTGGTGAGTAGTTATTATTGTTCGGACACGTGCCAAAACAGAACCGGTCTTTCATATCAACATAGCATCCTTTTTCCGAACTCCGAGATGTCGTTATTCCATGGGAGAAACTGAGGCACGAGAAAGGAAACCGTAGACGTTCAAGTCGTTCCCCTGCCCGTCCGACCCCCGCTTCCCTGCCCTCTGAGGGGCGTGTTCAACCACGACAGCGTTCAGAGATGCCAACCCATCGTCTCCACGTGCGGTATTTTAATAGCCATCCCCATCAGCACATTTGTCCTTACAGGTCACCCGAAGTCCTTCCCGCTTCCCTTTTTCCTTCTCTTGGTCCTTAGTGGAGAGGAACAGCCGGCCATCTTCTGGATCCTCTTCCTCCTCCTCTGTGTCCTTTACGTGGCAGGACATCCTTATTTAGTCACCCTCCAGCCATTTCTTTCCCTGGCTGACTCATGTCCATTCCTTAAAGATCCTCGTGGGTCTTATCGTTTCGAGCGGTTAGTCATCCTGGTGGCATTTCTTTGAAATCTTCCCAAGTGCTCTCTCTAAGCCTCAAAGGTCAGAATGGGAAGGCTGCTCCGGTAAGCGGTAAGCGTTTCCAGGAGGGCCGAGAACATAATCTTTTTTTATGGTTTTTAGGATTGAAGCATAAAGCAAACCATTGACAGTCCTGCTTTAACAGATAAAACAAATCCATAAATCTTGGCTTACCCTCATTTCTCTTGGATGTTATCAGTTTCTCTCTCGGAGCCAGTTTGTTGCCCACTAGGCTGTGGCAGGGAACCCCATTTTCTTCCCTAATGCCTATCCTCCCCTTTGTTGCTCTAGGACCCCCAATTATTGGCTGGGCACAGGATCAGCCAGAATGAAGATTATTTTCTAGTCTCCCCTGTAGCTCGCTGTGACTGAGACCAAGTTCTGGCCATTGGAATGTTAATGGAAGCGTTGGATGCAACTGGCAAATATTTTTAAAGGCTAAGGGCACACCCATCCCCCTCCCCCACCCCCATCGCCTGCAAAAGGAGCGCAGAGGTTGGGGTCAGCCACCTTCCAGGACTGTGGGACATCTCGGTAAGGAGGGAGAGTCAGTGACAACTCGGAACCAGATCATCGCATATCCCCTTGAACAGCCCTGGGCTGCCTACCTTCTGGCTCATTTTACGTGGGAGAGAAATTCATTTCTGTGTTTCTCAACTGCCGGTTTGTGCGTGAGGGGAGGGGTGTTTGTTTATTTCATGCGTCTCAACCTAATGCTCACGGATTCAGTAGCCCTCAGACTGCGTTTCTGTGTGTTTCATTTTACTCGTGTAGGATGATATGGACAGGAAATAACAGACAGCTGCTGGTGCTTTCATGCCCGCTGCGCTGAGTGGCTCAGGTATACGAGATGCTCACTAGAGATCGGATATTTTTGATGCGTTGTCTCATGTAGTCCTGACATAAACCTATGATGCTGCTACTATTTTCATTTTAAACGAGAGGGAACTGACACTCAGCGGTTAGGTGCCCACGTTCCAAGTCACACGATTGGTCGATGGCAGATGCGAGATTTGCGTCTGGACAGCCTGGCCCCGGAGCCCACCCTCTTGATACTCTTTTTCGAATGCTGATTCTGTTCCTCAAGGACCTACCAAAAAGGTGTTCGTAGTAGCTACCATTGACCGAGTCCCCGCTATGTGCAGGTACCGTGAATATACAGAAAGAAAATTCTAGAAAGGCTGGACCAAACCGGGCATGGGAGAAGCAGAGTAAGCCCGCTGCCTGGGGCTTGAATCGCACGCTGGCAATTCACGTGTTCAGAGCCCCTTCCGATGGCGCTGTTTAGTATCATTTTCTCCTGTTTCCACTCATGCGTTTTGAAGTCGTAATTGATGGATGAATTCTTTTTGAAGTTCAGTAATCCAGGACTCTTTTTGTGTGCTTTTGTCTAAATTATTCCCTTAAAGCTTCATCCGGACTTTCGCCTTGTTTTATGTTGAGAATTTTGGTACCATAAACATCGTAGTCATCATATGACTACAGTAATTCTGGAAAATAGTTACTCTGAGGTACATCTTGTCCCACTGACTCACATCCAAACTCATTACGAGACAAAAAATATAAGGTATAATAAAAATACAGGAACACCGACTATTAACCTGGAGATACTAGACATGAATCAAGCTACAAATAAAGTCAAATAAAACATTATTTAGTGTCTCTCTTATAAACTAACAGACTAATATATATATAAAAACAAACTTCTGTGTACTAACAACCTTTGGAAAATTCAATAGTCAATATACTCAGTAAACACTATTGATTAAATGGCCCATGAAAATAACTGTTCTTCCCACTTGTTCATACTCTTCAGCCCCTTTTGAATGGAGAAGACATCTCTCCGTGTCCATTTTGAACAATTAGTAAGGTGAACTTTCAGTCCAAATTAAACTATCCTTCCCTGTGAAATTCTAGTATGAATTTTTATGGTCCTGTATGATTCCTGACTATCAACCTTACTATCCTTTTAATTGAGTTTTATAGATGAAAACCTTACTCAGAACCGAATATAAATTATACACATTACGACTTTGAACCAAGGTTGCAAATTAATTCTCTGAGCCATTTTTTCCCTTATCGATGCACTAAAACGACACAAATAACATCAGCTGCAGGATGTAAGAACTACTTTTTCATAGAAAAATTTGTTATGGAAATAATAGGGTGATGAACTACTCAAGTAGTTCTTAAATCTAGAAGCCATATAGTTTCTGTAGCACCATGCAATACTATAAGAAGGAATGGTTAAGAATCAAAGCAATTTAAAGAGAGACAAACTCAATAGTTTTGATCACAAAAATATATAAAATAAACTATGGCAAAAATATGGCTTTCAAGAAGAAACAGCAAACTACAGATTTGTAGGAGTAAGTACTTAAGGCAAAAATCTAGAAGGCTCAGAAAAAAATTTAAAAGCCCAGGCCTCCAACAGAAGCGTGGGCAAAGACTACAGATATGTAGTTCGTAAAAGAGGAAATGCAAAGTGCCAATTTAAACACGAGAAAAGAAAACAAAGATATGCAAATTAAAATGCACCGTGGTTTAACGTATCTCATATTAACGAATATTTAAGACTAATACACCACTGAAAAGAAGCAATGGGAATGGATGTCCTTGCAGGGTTCCTGACCTTAGGGGGAAAGCCTTCTGTCACCATTAAGTAGGATGTGATCAGACATTTTTTATAGATGCTCTCAATCACGCTGAGAAAGCTCCTTTCTATCCTAAATTCCTTCTTGTCTTTATTTTAACAATAACGCATAATGTTGGCAACAATGCAAGGAGACAGACACTATAGTCTAAGTTTACACACCCTCTCGAAATCAAGTTTGCAATATGTATCAAATGTGTTAGGCCAATACGTTCATTTCTATGTATCCGACGTAAGAAAGTAATTGATACATGGTTACAGGTTTATTTACAAAGATATTCATCACAATGTGTTTCGTAATAGTGACAAATTGAAACTAACATAAGGTCAATATTAGGAGAAGGGTTAAGCTAATTATGCTCAAATGTAAAAGAGAATACTATGTAACCATTCGATTTCACTTTCCAAAGGCTTTTTAATGCCAGGGGGAAAGGCTTTTTTTTAAAAAAAAGGACCATCGAGATCAGATCTGGTCCTGAAACTCGGTTACAGAGTCAAGGAGGCGAGGCCAGTGGATTCGAAGCCCGAGGGCTCTGATCCCGCTCGGAGATGTAATGTCGGGACCAGCATCAGAGTGAAGACTCAGATTAGGGTCACCGTCGCCGAGCTCTGGGTTCAGTGG